AAAAAAAAAAAAAAAAAAGAACTATTTGGCTTATTTTGAATAAATTTTTAAATTAATACAATTTATGAACATATTATATTTGCTATTTTAGCTTATTGCATTTTAAACTAATTCAAATATTTTTTCAAATTTGTTTTACTTTAATTAAATGTAATAATACTTATTTGTTTGAATTGAAACTTTAAAAAAAAACATTTGAAATTTTAAAATTTATATAAATAAAATGTAGAAGAAGGAAAAAAAAAATGCAATGTAATGCAGTGATTGGTTTTATCTGCTCTCATTGGCAGGTAGCAACAGATGGCTGCAGTAAGGATAGTTTCAGTTTGGCTCGTTGTAGTAATGATGACCGGTTTTTTTTTGTATACTGCAAAAAGTATTTTGAAATTGAAATTATCGTTAATATTGTCATTATCATTGTCGTTGTCGTTGTCGTTGTCGTTATCGTCATCATTACTATCGTTGTCATCAACATTTACCTCACTACTACTACTACTACTACTACTACTAGTACTACTACTACTTTCAACCATAAAAATGTTTGAATAATCACCGCAAAGACTTATAAAAAGTGTTTCAGCAAAAAAATCAAATTACCACCCGGAGGGACCCCCCACCTGTGCATGCTACACTACACAACACTATATCACGTTATATCTTACTAGTCTTGTTTTACCTTACAAAAAATGTATGCGTCTATATGTGTGCATGTATATATATGTCTGTTCGTATTTGTGTACGTGTGTGTATATGTGTATACGTGTGTATATATATGTGTATACGTGTGTGTGAGTGTTCCTGAGTGTCTATCATTGATTTACAGGAAAAAAAAAATGCTTGCAAATAGCTTTTTCATGAATTCACCAACTATTCACTTTATGTGTGTGTTACTATTTTTTTGCCAACAATTACCAATTTCAATTGGGAAAAGGGAAAGTTAGCAAATTTTTTTTACAAATATTTGTGAGGGAACTTTTAGATGAAAAAAGGTTGCAAATTTTTGATTTTGGTAGATATAATTGGTAGATATTACATTTTATTATAGCTAAAATATTATGGTTGAAAATAAGCTAAGAATAATTGGTACCATACTTTGAAATATAATTGGTACCATACTTTGAAACATAGTACTACAAAAATGCAATTTCAATTTGGACTTATTGACAAAATTGATTGTACAGTGTGAATTTTAAAAATGCTTTTAAAATTATTAAAATTTTCAAAAAATAGAGCATAATTTTAAGGCTTGCAAAAGAATAAGAATGTAGCAAGCAGTTTCCTTTAGCAATCAACGAATGCTTGTTATAACACATAATGAAATTGGGTATTCTGCTTATTATTACTTATAAAAATTAGTAATTTGAATTTAAATATACGTTTTCTAAATAGTTATTGGTATTTTGAAACTTTTAAAGAACTGTCCGAAATAAAAATTCAAAACTGATTTCTTTAAAAGATTTGTTATGAAGTTTAATTAATTGTATTATTTAAAATTGTTAAAAAAAAAAACTTTGTACGATAAAAAGGCATAATTAAATACTCTAATAACTTATTCAAATTATTAGTAAAAATAATAGCAAAAAATCGAGAATATTATATTATCTGTAAAATAAAACTCCTTCAATAGATTTATATTGCAAGAAAAGCAGCTATTAAAGAAAGAAGTAAAGATTGAACTAAAAGAAAAAATCTAAATAATTAAAAACTTAAATTATATTATTAACTGAAATACTTGAAGAAAATTAATAAATTACAGTAAGATATATTTGATAAAAAGGTGTTGTAAAAAGCATTTTATTAGTATCAATTTATTAATTTTTTTCTCTCAAATAATTGAATGTGATAGATATTTTGACATGTTTTATTACAGAAAGACTTTTTCAAACTATTTTTTTTAATCAAAAAATGTAAATTATACGGTATAATTTTGAAGGAATAGTTGATGATCGTTTTTATTAGCTTTTTTTTATGCTTAAAATTCATGAATTTTTGGTATTTTCACTATTCTTGTAGTAATGGCATTGAAATGACTGTCATTTTATCACTGATGCGCAATTCTATCGTAATATTACTATTATTTTTTTCCGGACAAATAATCATTTTTTGAGGAATAAAAAAAATTATAATTCAATATTTTTTGTATTATTTTTTTTCTTCATTTTACTCTCAAATTTTTTTTTTCACTAAAATTGCCATTTTTATTTTTTTTTCAATTTTCGCTTTTTTTTTTGAAATTTTTATTTGTTTGATAAAAAATAAAAAATATTCTTACTTTGAAAGCTTACTTTTAAAATTAAAAATTTTTTACGCTCTTTTTTATTGCTATCTCAAAAGTACCTTCTCAAATCGGTCGGTTGACTCTGACTATTACTGATTTTTCGTTAAAAAACGCTTTATAAACTGGTTTTTTTTTTGTTTTTTTTAACTAATAAATCTAACATTTTGATTAGTAAAAACTGCTTTATGGAACAAAATTCATTTCAGTACTTTATCATTTTTGTTCATCAATTCTGTGATTCTAACAAGCCATGATGTACTCTACCGTTTGAATTATATTATGCAAATTGAATACATCAAATATTCTTCATTTTATTTCCCCTAATAAGTATTACTTAGTACTAAAGTATATACTACAACGTCAAATTATTACTGTATTGACTGTAATATACAAAATATCGATAATAACAATTAAATTTAGTGTGTTTTCTCGAGAATTTATTCTTAAGATGGAAAAGTCATCATTACTTTGATGCATTTTAGTCAAAGAACTGTCTGTTAATTGCTGCAAATTGCTTTTGTAGAGTAGAGCACAGGAAATTAATTCATGAGATAGTTCGTTCTATCAGAAATCCAACTCTTTCTATTCAAAAATACGAAAGTAATGAGGCTAAGTTGTTGGGATAAGAAAAGGACAAGAAATATGCAAGTCATTATTACTATGAATGCTAATTACTGCTACCATAAATGCATATTTTAGTGATGGACATGAAAGCTAATTTATATTCGCTCATGTATAATATATGCAAATTTTTCACATCAATATACAGAAAAAGTAAAATTACAAGTTTTTTGAGATATCAGAGAAATTTTTCATATATTTAAGAACGATTGAGTTGATTGTAAAGTATAGAGATAAAACGGAAACAAAGAAAGTTGTAAAATGAAAAGCTTTACTTTTTTTCTTCTCATACCTTTTTATCCGCCAAATAACTTGATGACCCTTGACCTCAGCATAACCTATTTTGGACTCTTTCAACTACCATCACAACATGTCAAAGCATTGAGAATATTTTTCTATGTGTAATTCTCACCATTTTACTTTTACTTTTATGTACCGATCTTTCGCTCCTACAATGCTAATTACAGCAAATAATAAACAATACAATATGCAAATAATACCACTATGGTAGTATTTACTGAGAGTTTTATTAATTTCTAAGTGACAAAGTGTTACAAAGAAGGCTTAATAACACCGCAAAATAAAATCTCTTTACTACAGTTTCAAGAATAATGACATTCAGAAGGCAATTTTCAGCGATAAAATCTATTTGAAAACTGCTCAAAATTTAATAAAAAATAATTTAAGCCGTACGTGAAGATCGAATGCGTGGTGGTCGTAATAAATTTGGCTCTTACTATAAACGTGATCGTGCGCAACGTATGCAGAGAATAGCATTACGAACCAATGGATCACAAAATTTCTTCGCTCAAAACAGTGCTGAACAGCAAGTATCAAGCAGGTATCTATCATTTTTCTTAAAAGCACGGTACAAGAATTTATTTTTTATAATTTTTTTAAATACAAATTTCGCTAGTATGATCAATCATATTAGCAAAATATGTATTCTGCTTATATTTCAGAATTATTAAACTTAAAAATTAATTGTAAGCTATGGTATAATTTTTATTTTGTATATTTTTAATAACTACAAGATAAGTTTTTGAATAATTTTCAAGTACTCCACCTGGAATATCTACTACAACATCTGAAAGTGTGGCTGTAGCAACGCATGCGCAATATTTTGACATGAATGGAGCACATAAATTCAAAAATGATTATGATGCATTGCTACAATCTCCAACATTGTCAAGCAGTACACAACCAACGAATAGTAAGTAATGCAATATTATAAAATACAATTCATTTTTTACAGTAAATTTTACGTAATTATTTTTTTACCATATCTGACATTACAATTTCTTAAAATTTTTGCTTTTATGCTTATGAAAAATGATTAATTAGCATAAACAACTAATTATTTTGTTAGTTTTTTGTCATTTTGGTATGATTTTGTATTACTTACAGGCTATGTCATGCCAAGACCTAGTGCATATTTACCAAATTGTGATAATTTGGCAGCTTTACTTGGTTCATCAATGGATGATCCATTATTGCGTACTTCATCATTTCCTATTTATTCATGTGTTAAACCTGAACCATTTGATGGCTATACTGATACAAGTACTAATAAAACTCTTATTATCGATTAAATTTAAAACAAATTTAAAATTTAAGTAAACCTGAACTTGATAATAATAATTATTATTATTCGATATAGATGTATATTACCATAATCAAAAACTTGGAAATTACATGATTATCTTCAATTGATTACCATTGATTAGAATTATTTTTTACTGATTTAATTTAGGTTTTCCACAGCCAACACTGCCTACCGATTACTCGCCATTTTGTCCTCCAAGCTCATCTTATACTGCAATGACCGCTATGGCACCTATAGCGGTGGCTACACCAACTCCACCATCTGGCACCGCGGCTGACCGTTCTTCTCCCCTTCTACCTATTTGTCCTTTACCTACTGAGAAAACCATCGATAGTGTTTTTTATACTCCTCCAAAACAAACGGCTCTTTTATGCAGTTGTACAGAATCTTTGTTAGATCCAAATCTCCTTTTGCACTTATTAGGCAAAGGTGACAAAAGTCGAGATGCATTTCAGTTCTGTAAGTCAGTTATTGAAGAAAGTCTCAATTCTATTGTGACATGGGCTAAAAATGCTCCATATTTTGAGCAGTTACCGGTAAGTCCAATCAAATTACAAAAATAAACCTACAAAAATAAAAGTTTTAAAAATCATTCAAAATTTGAATACTCTGAAATTTTCGCTCATTTCGACTATTATTTGCCTAAGTAAAAGTACACAAAATTTTTGATAATTACCAACTTAATGTTTTAATTTTACACTAATTTTGATAATGACTATTAAGGTTTCTCAACTTACCTAATGCAAATCGTATCAGCTAGCTACTAATTTCAGTATATGCATAGATTAATAACAAGCTGAAAATAAATTCCAAAACTACTTCTTATACGTTTGATACTTTTCTTTGCGTGAAAAAGTTTTTTACATTAAAGAATGGATTCTGAAGTGAAAAAAGGGTCTTAGTACATATGCATTTGACAATAATTTTAAATATCTTTAAAAAATAAGATTAAATTCATTAAAAATTTTGAATAATATTAAATTTATTAACTTAGATCTTCACTAAATCAAATCTAAACTACATTAGAGTACATAAATATTAATTTTATACTTAAATTCAGAACAAAAGACTTTGTGTTTACTGTTTTTACATAATTTTTTCTCAAAAAATTGTATAAGCAGAAGGCAATTGTCAGCATCTGAAAAGGTTATTTGTTTTAGGTTGATGATCAAATAGCCTTAATTTGTACATCATGGGCACAAATCCATGTTCTCGACTTTACATATCACATTCTTTATAATCATTTACCAATTTCAATACAATTTGGCAATTCTCCGTTAGTTCATAATTATTTATTTTAGTAAGTAAGAAAGTTTTACTCAAAAACATTTAAACTTATAGCTTCTGATAAATTTGACGAACAATTTAATCAGTAATTAAGTAATAAAGTAATTATATACAGATTACCTATGTCAACTATATGCTTGATGGGATTTGATACACTCTCACCAAAATTTAATGATTTATGCAATAAATTACAATCGTTGAATTTTGATCGTTGTGATTATGCAGCATTTAAAGTGATCACACTTTTTGAAGAAAGAGGTTTGTCGTCAATTTTTGAGATTTCTGATCATTTACATAGTTAGTATTGAGTATTATAGTGATAAGAAATCATTTATATTTTCAGAGCATAATTAATTATTAAAAAATAAAATTTCATTGCCTCTTTTTTTTGCTTAAAAAACAAAAACATTTGCTTTTAAACTTTAAATATTATAATAAATTTTATAGTTACAGTAAGCAATCAAATCGCTATACGTATTACTATTACTACCTCATAAATTATGAGGATTTTGATCAATAAGCATAAATTATTGTTGGTATTGACAATAATAGGCAAAAGTAGTAGTTATTTGTTTAAATCAAACTTTGTTGAATAAAAAAAAATGATTATTTGTCATATAATTCTCACCAAAATAATATTTATACCGCAATTATTCTCATCACTGATCAACAAATACAAAAGTTTTACAGCTTTCTATTTTGCATTTATTTAAGTTTATGTATTGTATTTGGATTTCCATAATTAGAACTGTTATTCATGCATAGAAATATGCAAATTACAGGTGAACGAAGCGCGGTAAACAATTGTTCTTTGACTGCTCAAGTCCACGCATCGGTGCTCACAGCATGGGCAGTTTACCGTTCCATTTCGGTTGCTACTGATCATCCCTTATACGTTGTTTACGAGGAGTTGAAGTATTTATTTCAAAGAATTATGCATACATAAATAAGAATTCTAAAAGTGATCAGAAAAATTTCTTCACACTAAAAATTCATAATTACTTTTTATCAGTTATGATTAAAAGCAAATGTTGAAAAATATTTCTAAACGTAGCGAAAATATTTATGCTATTTTTTGGTAACATGCATAAAATGCACCATTAAAAATAATTCTTTATGGTATTAAAAAGAATTAAGCTATAAAAATAAGTATAATTAATTGGTTTTTAATTTCAAATTTTAATTAAATGATATTTTCTACAAAGAATTGATTGTTTTTATGTTGAAAAAGTTTAAGAACAGTTATGGTTGGTAGCAAAACAAGAAAGCAAAATATGATGCATATTGAAAGTACTTGAATTTCCTTTACTGTTCGAGTACCACTTTGTCTGACTCTGTTGAATTGCAATGCCCTTTGACCCTTGTAATTAGTAATGCCGTAGCGATTATTTCTAACATATCAAAACCAGCAATTATCCTCTTCTCACTTGCTAAATCCCGGGATGGTGTAAAAATAACTGCAAATGCTGTGAATTCTCTGATCTACCGTACATTTAATTCGTTTTTGAATAAGAAAGAAAAGATATGGCTTATCATTCAAATGAAGGGATTAACTTCGTTTATCAATCTATTTTATTACTAATCATTTAATTATAACTTTCTTTACTTGGCTATAACGAAGAATACTTAAAAGGTCATTGTAGCAAACTAAATCTCACATGCATCAGTCATTGTGATTAAAAATTTCTACCAAAGATCACTGGCAAAAATGATTTTTATAACGATTTATTGCGATAAATATTAGTATTTTTGGTAATTTTTTATTTGCTGAAAGATAAAATTGCAATAATTCAAATCTTTATAAAATTTTAACCATATATCTACATTTTCATGTACAAGATGGAATTATCAGCGCTTGTCAATTAATAAATATAATAACAAAAAAATTTAAATCTAGACAAATTTTTTATGCAAATTTCAGGCTTCTTGCGCGTCAAGCAGCTCATCTACTGAGCAAATACTCAACTGTGGGAATGGAAGAAAACTTATTAAAGGAAATGCTTACACGTAAAGAACATCATTTACTCTCGCAACAACCGTCACTATCTACACTTCAAGCACAATATGGATGATAGTAAAATAGCAAACTTTGAACTGAATAATTATGCAAATTTTTCGAGCAGTACTCGTTGATCCCTTTCTTCAAATCTGACCTCATCAGAAAGTCTTTAAAAGTGATAACCATCTATTCACTTTTGATTCTTACTAGAAAGCATTAGTATGCGTTTGTTTTAAAGGTAATCTTTAGAATTAATGTTTTCTTAAAATTCACTAAAGTGTATCTGCTGAAAAAAACAATTGAATAAATTGAACTTGAAATTAATAAGTCGCGCAGCTTACTGCTTTCTTTCCTTAGCAACTTGCATATGTACTGTTTGCAAGTATTTTTGCGTTTTCAAGCTTGCGAGAAAGTGTTTTGACAAACGATCTCTTGCAAGAAACTCGGGTGGCATCTACTTAGTACCGGGAAGTCGCGAAAGAATGAAGAAAATACGCATCGGAATGCCAAAGTGCGCATTTCTATGTTTGAATCGAACTTTGACCTTTACTTTATTACATTCATATAGATTACTTATATACTTTTACTCATTCATTCCATTTGCTTACAATTATGTGAAATGTCTTCATTATGTTTAAATCAATTATAAAATTCTTAACTTACTTACTTACTTGTGTTGTGTTAAAATCATTTCAACTACGGGCCGTTCATCAAGGCGTTCGTGTCTGGCAAATTTATTCAGGCCTAGCAAAACTCATCTTACTATCAATTATTTTTCAGTCTTACTTCATTCATTTTTTGATAGCCTTTACAATTTCTCTATCACTATGATTGTTATAATCATTATTATTATTTGTTTACTAATATTAATATTTTAGTATTATTATTATTATTGTTATTATTATTATCATTATTAGCATTAGCATTATTATTATTACTGCTGCAAATGAACTAATACTTTCTTTCAACTAATACCAATACTTTCTGCTGTGGAATTAATTTTTTGTTTAATAAACGGGATGTGTGCTTATTTTTATGAGCAATTATTTGATAAAATTTAATTCAAAGTAAGTAATAAATTTTTTGAATTAAATTTAAATTTCCTGAATTAATTAAAAATAAAGATGCAATTGTGAATTTAATTGAATTTTAAATTTGTTTGATCATGAATTTTTTTTATTTTTTATTTTTGCATGTAAATCTGCCTCTATAATGATATAATTCCATGAATCAGCAGCAAATGCGATGCTTCTGATTATTCATCATCGCCTCATTGCTACACATTCAATAGATAATTTGCATACTGCGTACATTCCAGCACTCAGCCACACTTGCCTAATTGTATATTAATTTATTATTATTATTATTATTATTATTATTATTATTATTATTATTATTTAATTATTATTATTATTATTATTATTATTATTATTATTATTATTATTGTTGTTATTGCATATTATTTTTATTAAAATTACTTTATAAAAATATGCTTTGTTTATTAGCTGTAGAAATTCTTTTCAGCAATTCAGCTTTAGTTATTACAACTCATGGAGAGAGTGAAACAAATAAATAATGCTTTCTGCGCTTCTAATTTCTTATTTTAAATAACAAATCTTTTTTTTTTTTTAAATAATATAATTTATAAATTTGTCCAACTTTATTATTATATCATTACTACTTTTTTTACTACTATTACAATAACTACAACTACTGCAATTACTATTATAATTTTCATTACTGGTATAATACTGTTATTTCATTTTGTATATTTTCATATTACACTTTTTAATGACTCTTTAAATGCGAAAGTATTGTATTCCATAATTAAATAAATAGTAAATGATATTTTGACACTTTCAGACACAATAATATGTTATAAAGTGAATTTTAGCACACTTTGATGTCTTAATATATACATATATAAAGACATTATTATGAATATTAAAGGTAATTTGTGATTAATTAAAAATAATATTTACGATTTTATCCGATATCTGTTGTTAAACTTTTCTTTTGTACTACTGGTACTGATCGTAACAAACTTAGAAATGCCAATCGAAATTGTTGATTTAATAAAGTATACAAGCATGGATTCCATACAGTTGAGCTGTAATAATTATAAATAAATTAAAAGCAAATTAATTTTATTCTATCTTTTTACTCTATCATAAATTTTTTAGACAGCAACAAATTTTATTGTAAAAATTGCAAAAAAATAAGTACCTCAAAATAATTCAAGCACAAAAAAAAAACTATACCGTAAGAATTAATTAATTAATTAATTAATTGAATAAAATATACCTCATTGAAATGCAATGGGTAATTAGGCCGAATAAATATTCTTGCTTAGTAACAAAGTTTGGTAACCACTGATAATCTCTAAGAAAATTGAATGCAACAGATGGCATCCAGCAACAAACAAATACGCTAACCATTGAAATTAGCATACGATTTGTACGTACACGTCGTTTAAGTACTTGCCGTCTATAGGATGAACACTTATTCATTTGTTCTCTGAATAATGTTACCTGCAAAATGAAATTTAGAATAAAGTAATTTATTAATAATTCTTATTATTTTAGATAGTAGTGCAAAAATTTCTGAGAAATGGATTCAAGTACTGTAATACGATAATAGTTGATTCTATAAGCTTATCCAGAAATGATACCGCATTTGCAGAGTTATCTTAAATTTTTATCAGGTTTTTTTTAAATGATGTTAATTACTAGATTGAAACTCAATACACTAAACTAAACTAGTAATAAACTGACCAAAATTATCATTTTTTTATTATTTTTAGGTACTTTTAGCAATAATGACACAAATTCTGTTTCCGAAGTTTGAATTTCTATAAAAAGTAGCATCAGTGCAAAGTTTTAGTATCATCGTTGAACCCAAGCATTAGTGCAGAATTTCACAAAGTATTCTCAACATATTTTATATTATTCAAATTCATTTATAAATTCCTTAAAATATTATCCGTAATATTTTTTATAACCCAAATCATCGAAAAAAAATTATAATGAATTTTCATATTTGAGTATGTTTTATCAAATTTTTTAATTTTTGACTGAAAAATTTTATTTGCTTTTACGTGATTAAGTAATCAGGCGCCAACGTAAGTGTATTACGAATCAAATACAATACCTTGCTAAGTTTCAAAGAGATCATTGTATAGCAAAAAGTGATGACAGTTAGAGGTGCAATAAATTGGAATATAAATACAATTGTTCCTGAAATTTTCTGTGCATTAAATTTCTGATTTAGTATTCAGTTACTTGATAAATTGTAACAATTAAAAAAGAGTATTTTGTAAATTTTTTAAATGATAAAGGATTAAAAATACATACGGCAAAAATATTACAGTTTTCTTCAAAAAGCAAAAATTTTTTCAATAACTTTAATAATATTTCATATGAATTATTATTTTGCATAAGATTTTTCTCGTTTTGCGTGTGAAAAACTTTAATATTAGCATGCTTCACGTTGTCAAATTGTGTTCAACAGTATTTAGCATAAAATTTCGGTATTTATTTGCGCAGTGATTAATGTATAAATTTGTTGTATACAGAAGGTAATGATAAATTATCAGAAATAATTTATATAAAGTTAATGAATTCCATAAAAACTTTTTTAATTATTAAATTAAAACAAACCATAAGTGCTTCGGCCAGTATTATCTGACCCCCAGTCTTCTGTACAAAACTGACCACAAAAATTTTCAAATTTAACAAGTTGTTGTTTGATAAACATTGGCAAAGATATGGCAGTTGCCAGCACGAAATCAATGCCAATCATTTTAACAGCTTGTGACTTCTGAATTGGCCTATAAGACTTTAAAAATATTTTTGAACAAATAATTATTAAATTTTCAGTCTAAAATTTGCATGAATTTTTAAATTTATGATTTGAAACACTTTTATGCATAAGTAATTTTTTCAGATTTATTGATAAATTGACAATTTTTTTGATTTTAGAATCATATCAGTGCTCATTTTTTGCTTATTCTATTTCCTGAGGTAATAATTTTAAAACTTTCAAAGTTTTCACTGATTAAAAAGTATTTTTGTCAAAATATTTTCCTCAAAATTACAATTTCATGCTTTTACTTTTAACTTTTTGGAAATTTTGATATATTAACTTTAATTATCAAAATCTTTCCTCTTACAGTATTCAATAATTTCAATGAACTTTCAGTTTCAGTACTTCTTTAAGCCATAATACTATCAACTCAAACGTACATTGCAAATCTTTGATACAAAAAAGATTATCTGTTATAAATGTTTATTTTTATTTTTAAAAATTTTAGTTACCTAATTCGATAAGTGTATTGCAAAGTTTTTGAACTTGTAAAATTTATTAACATTCGATGCGCAGGCATTTTTTATTCATAAATCAAAATTTCATTTCGTATGCAAAATTTTCAATCGTTGAAAAGTTTTGCCGCTAAAAAAATTTCCAAACTAATTACAGTTTATTAATGATTATCTGCTAAATAAATATGAAATAATATAATTATATTAAATACGTTATTAATTTTTCTGATAAGATTGATAGCCGTATAAAAAAATACAATTGTTGGATTGATTGAATAAAGTTTGATTTATTGAATTTATTTTTGATTACTTAAACGCAAATCTAAACTTTAGAGTAGAAAAGTTTTGAAAAACTCAGATTCTAACTTTAAGCACACAATATTAACAGCATTTTTTTAAACTATTTTGAAGCTGAAAAAATGGTGACTTTTAACTAAGTTAGTTACAAATAATACTTATTGAACTATTTTGAAATTAATCCATAATTCCTTAAATTTATGCAAAAATTTGAAATTTTGATTTTAGGCTCAATCAAAAACATTAAAAAATAAAACAGTGTGGCATTCGAAGGGAAAATTTTGAAGACAGCAAGTATAGATTCAAAATTTGCATTGTAATAAAATAAAATAAAATTAAAAAAAAACCTCTGATTACGCTTAGTTAATTTGCATAAATTTCTTGAATAAAATTTTATTAATTTCATGCAAAAATAGTCAAAATTTATTTCAAATATTCATATTTTTTACAAAATATTTTTTTATATCAAAAAAGGCGCTATTTTTATTTACATTAATAAGGCAACTTTACTTTATTAGCTGAATTAGCAACAAAAAAAATGATTTTTGAGATTCTAATACATAATTTTATACTTTTTATTGATGATTGCGGAAAAAGTTTAAAAATAAATTACTCAAATTAAAATTTGAAAATGAAATTGAATTTGAGTGAATAATGCATCTGCGCTGGCAGTTTGTTTATAAATTTTCAGCATTTTAAAATAAATCATATCCATTACTCTTTACAATACCTATTTTTAGCTTAATTTTAATATCAATAATTAAAAGTTATTATTTTCTTCAATATCAATCAAGAATATTTACTCTTTCGTTGGAAAAATAATAAGAATATAGCGATCAATGGCTATTGCAGTAAGGGTCAAAGTTGAAAAGCATAAACTTGCGCCCTGTAAAAATGTTTATTTTCTTTTTAGAAATTGTCAGGATAAAAAGTATAAAACATTTTTTCATAAAATATAAAGTTTATAACTTTCATATTTTCTAGCAAAGTAATTTTTGTATTTTGTATTAATTGTTGCAATTATTTGCGTATTAATGGGAAAAAAGTTCAAAACTAACCTGTATAAATGGAACAAAATAGCAAAGAAGTTCACCAAAAAGCCATATTTTGGTAAATGCTGTAATAGGTGTGATAGTACCGGAAACCACCGAAATTACAATATCACTAACAGATAAGCTTACGATAAATATATTGCGCACAGATTGTAACGATTTGTACCGTATCACTGATATAATAACTAAACTGTTGCCTAATACACCAAGTCTGCAAGATTAGTATAATTTTGAGTAAAAAATGATGATGTAAAGGTAAGTAAAGTGATAAAGAAAAGTTAAATTTATAAACTGTTTTAGTTTGAATAATAAATACTATGCAAGATATTTAATTTCCATTCTAAAGTTATAATTTTCAGACAATTTTGAGTAAAATAAATCAAATTTATTCAGTGTCATTTAAGCAGCATAACTGAACTTTGATTTAGCGAAAAACTTTTATTAATTATTTTTTGATCAATTTAAATTATTTTAATTTTAACTTAATTACTCATTACTGTATCATTTATGATTTCTTTTAGTACTTAATTCGAGCAGTGATTATTGTTTATATAGAGTAATAAAATAAATAAATCAGTGCTAATCAGTTCCGAAAAAAGTTAATAAACTAACGTAATAACTGATCCATAAATAGCAAGAAAAGTTATCATTGTTAATGGCAATAGCGTGAGATCAGAATAGTTGATCCAAAGGTAGTCTTTGATATCAGTACATGACTTGTGACTTATACTTATGATAGTGCTACTAGTATTAGTCTCATTTTCATACATTTTAGTTTATAGATATTTGCACTGTAGTAGTACATTCAGTTAATTAGTAAAATTGCCGTTTAATTTGTCATCCTGAAAATCATTATCGATTGATTGATATTGTGATCTGTTATCATTTGAAAAAAATCATTACTACTAGCTGTTGATCACACATATCTTTATCATTTGCTATATGTTTTAACATTTGTAAGTGACTGTCATTGCAATCATTTCAAAACAACATATTGTATTTTTTTTTGATCGCAAGTAAATTTAATAATATTCAATAAATTATCGCATAAAATATTAAAATTTTGATAGCTTGATAAAATTTACAAATAAAAAGGAAATCGATGGACTGAAAATGATGAATAGATAAAGTATTAATAAAGTCTAAATTAAACTTTTAAAAAAATATAACAAAGTTCTTGTTTGGCATTTTTAAAGCGTAAAATTTAAAATTGCTATATAAAACTTTTGGTATTAAATACAAAAAAGTTATTGTTGTACAGTTTGATAACTGATTAATATTGTATTGCTATGTCAATAATTTTGATGAAAACTATAATAAAAACAAAAATGTGAAAGTATGAGTTATTTAATATATAATGTTAATTAGATAAAATGTTTGTTATTTGAACAGTCTACTGTAATAACAGTTTTGAACAAAGTAAGATTAGACTGTACTTAATATAAAGACTAAAATTAATATAAAATATAACAAATACTTTTTGTATTCTTCAACATTTGTAAATTTATTTCACCAAGTTTAGCAAAATAGAAGAAATTAGCAAAAATAAATGAACTAAATCTAGCTAGTACTTTTTTGAAGAAATTCAAGGGAGTATCTCAGAACTTGTTGAATTTAACAACTAATTGTGAATTACAATATAATTTTTAGCCATAATTTTTTCATCAATATAGTGTAATTATTTAGAATGCAAATTTAGATTAGCACCACTATTTTTGATTAAATTTAGTCTGATCTTACTTAATAATATGACCACAGCTGGCACAAATAATAACCAAATAAATGCTAATTAAATATTAAAAAAAATTTCGATTTGCTTTTATTGAAAATATAAAAGCAAAAAATGCTTCAATGGAAAAAACTACTGGAAAAACAAAAAAAAGAAGTGGATCTAAATCATAGCTAAGTATGTGCTTAATCCGTTCATTCAAGTCATACTAATTTGACTTGAACATTTGAATTGTAGTTAAAAATGCATATTTAATTCCTTTTTGAATAGTTGAAGTAATAAATTAGCTAAACATTTATACAGAATATTCTATTATATATACTGCATAAAAGTGACATTTCTATTTTCATACTCATTTATTCATTATTAGAAAATATTAAGCTTGGATAAAGATTAAGCTTTTTCAGTCCCCTTATGCATATAAGTCAAATTAGTTATTTCATTCTAAAGTAATTCAAAATATTTAGATACTCAACTACCTAAAAATGTGCAACATAAATGTGAACTAAAGATTAATTAGTCAAGAATAGTGTGATAGAATCGTTTTGAACAAATTATTACAAAACTGTACAAAAAAATAACTTTCACTACAAGTCATTGCGCACATAATGAAAAAAATTTTTGCATAATCTATTAAGAAATAAAATAATTCGAGAATTCAGACTGTTAATGACTGAACTAATTAATATCTATGATAAATTGTATAAATTATTATTGAATTAATTTTTTTAATAATTCATTTTGTTCAGTCAAAAACAAGAAAAAATGTTTTAATGCAATTTGTTAAGAGTTGTTTTTTGCTCGCAAGAATAAAATTCTATGTTGTTTTTTAGTATCAAAAATAAGCTTAGTTCGTCTCGTAAAATTTATCGACTAAGAAATAAAGTAAGCATCAAAAAAGTAATAAAATGATACAAAATAATTGAAAATTTTTTTTTGAGCAAAATAATTAATGAAAAAAAAAGAATTAAAATTGTATTGTGATTAATAGCCATTGGAAATGTTCTAAAAGAAAAAATTTAATGCAAAAGCTAAGTTTGACTTTAACTTTGTAAAAAGCAAATATTTAAAATATGAAATACTTACTTATATCCTTTTTTGCATTTAAAAAATTTCTAAAACAACTCAAGCTGATACAAATGCTATTTTTCGTTGTATACATACACACATACACGCATACGCACACGCACACGCACACGCACATATACATACGCACACGCACTCAAAAGTCAAATTTTTAAAAAGTACGCTTAAATATAATGTAACGAATATTGAGAAGAAATAATTGCTGAAGAGAAAGCATTATAGTCAAATTATAGAAATAAGACTAACTTTGAGTAAATTTGACAATTTTAACGAAGTTATTCTTCTACCTGACAAGATTTATATTCTAGGCAATTTTCAGTGCTAGCATAGAAAAGTACTTGCTTTGATTACTCTATGCTTATTTTACACTTGCATTAATGCAAAAATATACACACATTTTACATTTGTAAACAAGACAATTATATTATTTTACAATAGTTAGTTAGTTACAAATTTTAAATATGTATTATATCATAAATAAATATTATATAAATAAATAAATAAGCAAATAAATATTATATAAGTAAATATTGTATAAATAAATAAATATTATATAAATAATAATTTTTCGTTAGTTTTAATTTTTCGCTTTATTGGTTTTATATATTTTTAAATTGTATATTTTAATTTTGACGCATCACAAAAAATAGCTCACAGAAAGTTGACAGTTTAATTATTATTCAAATGTGTTTCACTTAGAGTTTAATTTTACATTTGTATTACCTTTTATATATATTTATTTCTAGAAAATTAAACAAAAAATGCCATAAACTACAATGACATCAAATTTTGCAAGAATCTATTCCAAATCATTAGTGGTTAGTTAATATTCAACAATAATTTGAAAAAAATGCAGATTTAAAATGATTCGATTTTTCAGTACATTCAAATATACAGTACGGAACAGTAATTATAATGCTCAGAAATATGTTATTATTATCATTATTATTTATAATATACACGAAATTGTTTCTTTACAGTAGGTGATCAAGTAATGATTCAATTAGACATTATCAAAAATTCATGAGGAGAAACAATTTAGAGAATAATTCTGCTAATCTGGTGGATAATCTGGATAAAGTTTCTGATAAGTAAAAACTTATCTATTTTTGTGATTATATCGATAAGTTGATAATAAAATTATGCAAATTTCGAAGTGCTGAATTAGAATGTGTAATTGTAAAATTCTTTAATTAAAAACAAATAAATTTTAATATTTAATCTTGCAAAATATTTAAAAATGCACCAAATTTTAATCACAAAAATAATTAAATAAGCAAAAATTACAATGCAATGCAAAGTTAAGACTAAGTCTGAAAATTAAGAAAATAAGTTCGAATATTTGAGATCTTTAACAGTTGTAATCATTGATAAAGATAAGTTTACATTTTTGCTAAATTAATTCACAGAGGTTTACAATGAATGATAAAAGAATAAAAATAAAGCAAACAATTAACAATTTTATTTGCATTACCTGAGGACAAAATAATGGCCAGGAGCTAAGATTTTTGAGCAAATATGAGAGTATTTTTCATGAATAGCAAATTAGTAATTCGAAAACTGATAATAAAAATATTCTTGCCATTGCTAAATAAGTAGAAATCATCAAATTTAATACAAAACTATTAATATTGTATTACAGAAATAGAAAATGTATTGTACAAATCTGACACATTTTGACAATATGGTAATGCAGCATTAATTAAATTATACAAAAATTATAATATTATATATACATGGATAATAAATTTTAAATATATACATATTAAACGTAATTTTTTTTGATATCATAATAATTATTGCATAGATTTTGTATCTTACATAAATTTTAAAAAGTATTACTGTGTGTATTATTAAAATTAAAGTTTAAAATTATTTAAATGCTCATATTCAGTCGCTATAAGATTGAATAACTCTAATATTTTCTGGATATTATTTATCATCTAATGCCAATAAATAATTCAAATTTTTGCATTATTTATTAACTTATATCTGCGCAGAGAAATATTTCATCTTACTTTATTTTTTATTAATTAATTAATTTTCTTTCTCAGTTATTTTATTCTTCATTTCCGATATCTCATGAAATGCCATTCCCTTAGTTTTAACTTTATTAAACTATTAATATAAATTTTCTGCATTATATAAGCAATACTTGTTAAACTTCGATACTGTTTATTTTATGAATATTTTTTATGGAATTTTAATATGCAATATTTTCCACGCCATTTTATTTTTATGCCGATTATGGATTTTTTATTTTGCATATTATTCGCATTATTATTTATATTTTTAGCCTATTTAATTTTTTACATTTTCCATAATCAAGTATGGGGAATGCGTATGTCATTTTAATTTTTCATATACTTCATATTTTATGTATTTAATTAAATAA